TTTTTTGCTTTGACCTCAACCTAGCCCCTCTAGTACTTTAGGGCCAAGGTATAGACTATAGGGCACCAGGACCCCTAGGGTTTTGGAGGTGCTCCAGGTCATATTGGTTATCTGTCGAACATATGATGGCCGACCGTCGTACTTATTAATTCCGAAGTAGCCGGCCTGGTGTAATCCTAAATCAGGGGCCTACATATTTGCCTTTTTTCATGTTGGAGGGTTCCTTATATTATATTATGACTATACTTTGAAGGAGACCAAAAAACCCTATTCTAATTATGGAGGCCCCTATATTGACACAAAGTCCTGCAACAGTGCCTAAGCTGAAATAAGGGCCTGGTTAGATCCTGGCGGACCTGTAGTCTGGGGGACGTCAACCAGAAACCCTACCCTAAGGATCCATGTACCCAAATAGTATATACTTTGGCCCCAAAGTACCGATATAGGGACTACATTAAGGCACATGGACCCTTAGGGCTAACCAGGGCCGCCGCACAGATAGAGAGGCAAACTCTAACGTAATATGGGTGCCTAAATAATTACCAATATTATATTGCGGGTTCCTTGCTATAGATACAGCATAATGGCCCCGACACCCTATTCTATTTGCCAAGGCCCTAGACTATGTAGGGGTTCTTTTGAGGTTTTCTTTCAGGGCTCTATGAGGATTCTTGATCGGTTCAGAGCATGTGTGTGGGGATGTAGAGTTCAGGGTTTACGGTTTAAGGTTCAATGAGGGTTTGCGGAGTTTTTGGCGGGTTGGGGTGTTCGGATGTTTTGGCATCTGTCTCTCACTTGTCATCGAAGTCCTCTTCCAAATTTTCAGGCCGCTGTATTGCGCCTTGAGTCTCCATTGTAGTTTCTTTTTTCGGTTCAACCAATTATATATGAAGGATTTTCTAAGGTATCCCCAAAATTGCGCTCTCAAGCTCAAATTGTCAACCCTTACCCCAACGTGACACGTGTAGCCTGAAAGTCACAATCCCCCAAAACGTTGGGTCCTAAACCCTGAACCCCTATTGAACCCAAACCTTCATCCCAGGTACCGTGCCCAGCTGCAGCTCAGTCGCGCCTGTCTCGTCTCCGCTCTCAGGAGCTGGAACTTTCGAGAATACAGTATTACTGTAGGTATCGGAATAATTGGTAATACTATGATATTTCTTGTAAAAATTTTGCTCTAGTCTCCCCCAAAATCCGAAACAAAGGACCTTTTGGATGCTTGGGCTTTCGCATTTAGGTGCCTCTTTTCGGCCTGAGCTAGTCTTCAAGTTAGTGCTGACATCCCTTCTCCTATCTTCGCGAAAACCCCTATAACAACCCAAACCCCAAACGAACCTAAGCCCTAAACCCTAAGCCCTAAACCCTAAACCCTAAACCCTAAACCCTAAACCCTAAACCCTGAAGCTTAAGCCCTTTCAACCAGGAGCCTCCGAGATTCTGGTGCTTATTGGGAGCGTTCCACCTCGCCTCTCGGATTAGGGTTTAGGGTTTAGGGTTTAGGGTTTAGGGTTTAGGGTTTAGGGTTTTAGGGTTTGGGGCTAAGGAATTTAGCGATTTAGGGTTTAGGGTTTCAGGGTTTAGGGGTTTAGGGGTTCAGGATTTAGCAGTTTAGGGCTTTGGGTTTAGAGTCGAGGAGTCGCGCCAGAGCTTGGGTGCTCAGGGTGTTTGGGGTTTGGGGGGTTAACCCTAAACCCTAAACCCTAAACCCTAAACCCTAAACCCTAAACCCTAAACCCTAAACCCTAAACCCTAAACCCTAAACCCTAAACCCTAAACCCTGAACCCAATCCCTAA